CTAAGCTTTGGCGCGGCTGATGCTCACGATGCGTGGCTACGGTACTAGCTGATGCTTGTGCTGCTACTGGCCAGTAGAACTCTTCGTGCCCTTCTCGCATCACATTCTCTATGGCTCCGTGGGTTGGAGTCTGCTCGTTGAGACCTACGACCCTCAGCCCGAAACCTTCCGAAAGCCGGCCTAAGCATCGCACGCGAGACAGCAGATTCTAAATCTGGCACCGCCGGACCCCGCCTCCGCGGCAGGAGCTTCATCGTGTTTCCAGCGGCCCAGGCTGAACAGGGACCCTTGCTTAAAGAGGTTCGGAAGTACAGTTCTCAGTGCCGTAGTCATACTCGTACGCCAATAGGGGCGGTCTTGACACGGGTGAGCTGAAGGAGCCCTTGACACTACCGCTCATCAAACCGAGATCCCACAACTCTTTCAGGTTGGTACAGATATGCTTTAGTTTTTCCCGAGGCATGCAGTCTCACCCATGAATGCATTCGCAATCACGCATCGTGTGTCTCTGCTGAGTAAGTACACAGTCGTTCCAGGTTTGAATTTATCATTCTGTTTCACAGAGTTCGACGCCCTCGCAGCGCTGTTTGTCTGTCTCAGCGCTTGATGCGTTGTTGTTCTCGACGGGAGCATCGCGGTGATGTCGTCATGCTTCCGCGCGTCCTGATCTCCCGGGAAGGTCAAGGTCTTGGTAAAGGTATATGCCTTTGAGTTTTATGTGCAGAACTCTCAGTCTCCGTCTTTTTCGGGCCTTGAGCTCTGAAGCTTAATTGTATGTCGAATGATAATCGAAGATGTCCTAAGCACTGAAGTTGCCTTGCTAGAACATCCCTGGGTTGCTGTAAACATCGCGGTCAGGGCACACTGGAGTTCTCCATGGTTTCGCCAGACCGACAACCGGTGAAGACTCGAACAGGTGGGGACAAACTGTTGTGCCTTTCAAAAGCTCCGGTTCTGCTGAGGTTGTGCTGACCGGGTATTGTTGGGAAATCCAGATGACGAGGCTACACCAAGATCCTTCCCTTAGCACATCTCTTCTCGCGCTAGAAGATCTGTTCGTCGTGCATGCAGAACGTGTTTGGCCGAAGCAGTCGGCAAACTGTGCACAATGGCGTAGCATGGCGGATCCGACTCGTGAACGTCGCCTGGGTGTTCCTGGTTGCTAGTGCTGAAACCGACCCCCGAAGTTCAATGTGTGAATCCGAGTCTCTTTTCAACCCCATCGGAACCAAGCCACGCGGATCTGAAGATTAATCTACAGAATCTAAATTCGTAGATCCTGAAGTCGGCCGCTTTTGTCCGGAGCCTGCTTGAGGTGCTGACCCGCAGGACCCTGATAGTGGGGGCCAGTGGGAGCCTCTGCGCTTTGCCGTGGAGTCCAGGCTTTGTCGTTTCGGCACTCGTGGGGCTTTGGATTTCTCGGGCACCTGGGGAAGGCTCAGGTGTTGTGGGCCTGTCTCTCATTGGGTTTTTCATGGGTTTGGGACTGGCGTGGCTGTGGTTTGAGTATGATATCGGCTTGAGGGCTTGAGGGGCGTTTTGCAACGGTGCCCTCCATCTGCTCATTGGGATTCCACAACACCTTGTGTCGATTGCTCAGGACGAAGGTTTGTAGAAGCGAGTGCTGGGAAGACCTCAAGCGTGGCGTGGCTAGTTACGCTTCGTAAGCTGCTTTGATCAGGGGGGAAGGTTCGGTTCAGGTCCTTTTGCTTACGCACGCTTTCACGGTCAAACCCCTCCCTCGACCCCTGTCAGTCTCGGTTAGCACTTCGTGCCACTGTGGCAACATGATATTCTTCAAAATGTATATATATATATATATATATACTTATTTATATCTATGTAGGCATGTGTATCATAGGGAATGATAAGATCACAAACTGGCTTTCAACCCAAGGAAGCATGGGATGGGCTGCAAGGGAAAATATATCATAAACCACCGCAGACCACAGAAAATGCCGACTGTCATGTCATTACAGCCGGTGTGAGATACAGCAGGTGTGCCTTGCTATACTCGTATTGTACGACGTAAACAACCCCGAATCGTAGACCCTTTGCGCACTAAGCATGCATTTTAACCCTAAGCCCCGAACGCCAGCCGGGCAGAAGCCCTTTCCGGTTGTCTAAGGCCGATCTCCATCTCTTGTGCGGTGCAGGCGCGAGCCGGGGAAGTGGAGTTTGATTTGCCTGGGCTGCTTGTACTGCGTTTCTGCCAAGAATTGGGCTGAGTTTTCATGCTACCTCCATGAAAACCGTGGCGCTGATAATGCGGAGGCGATGATCAAGATGGCACTGGGCGTGGTGATGATCGTGTGAGTGAGTGTGAGCGAGCGAGGGAGTGAGTGAGTACATGGGTGAGTGAGTGCGAAGGTGAGTGAGTGATTGAGTCAGTGAGTGAGTGAGTGTGTGTGTGTGTGTGTTTGTGTGAGTGGGTGGTGATCGTTATGACTGGTAACCATGATGGTGGCGCTGGCAGCTGGTGATGATGAATTTGCTGATGTATAGTGTCGGTGGTGGGTGTGAACATGTAACCTTGCCGAAGTCAAAATTGCTGAAGATGAGGATGCACAGTCGGTAGCAGTTTACGTCGCAGTTTCGTGCTCAAGGTTCTTGGAAGAAGCACTTTGAATGAAGACTGTCGTTGTCTCAGGCTATGGGTTGCTTGCCGGCCGTACCACTGCTCTTCCTCACTTCCCGAAGCTCCGTAGGTTCTTTTGCTGGAGCTTGGCTTCAAAAGACCCCAAAACCTGAGCATTGTCTGCTGTGGGGACCACCTCGTGCCAGGTGCAGTTCGTAGAGGAGACGCTCCAACAGCCCGCGTCCCAAAGGGCAGGTTGAGAAAGTCTTGTTTAGGGCTTGAGGCTGTGGTTAGGATAGTTTGGGGCAGGCACTTGGCACGAGCGCGCATCATCAACAGTGCTTCTTGTGATGCAGATCACCCCCCCCATAGCAACATGTGTAAGTGTCTCGGACAAGACTAGGTGTTTTGAACTCATGGCTAGCGCTTTCTGCACGAAAAGAAGAGTACTTGTCAGGGTGTATTTGTCCTTCGGCAGCTTCGAAGCTGCGAGGCACAGGGGGTGGGGTGTGGCAGATGAAGGGGACTATTCGAAGGGCAGCCGAGATTTATTTCTCGAGACATGGCTCAAGGCATCAGTTTCAACAGGAGTTGCATCGCAACAAGGAACACGTTAGTGAGAACGTTTCCCGGATAGTCAGAGATCTGTGGCGTTGGAGTCTGGTGGAGAAGCCACCAGAGTCAAGAGCTCTCTTCTGGGTTTTCGGATTCGAGTCTTCGGATTTCGACGAAAGGACGAAAGCAAAGGCAGAGACGGTTTCTGAAGGTGCAAGCTGCAGCATGCACGAAGACTTGAAAGCCTTTCAATTTGCTTTGCAACCCGGGAGGCAGAGACAACTACTTCTGGCTGGAAATGTAGCACGGCCCTTTGAGGGAACCCATGTGTCCCTCATCTTTGCTGCGTTGCCTTGCCACACCATCCATATAACCACTGTCTAACGAGCATGTGTGGTTGGACGAACAGAGACTCACTCTACTTGCTTGCCCTGGATTGTACAACCCAGGGCCATCCAGATAAGCCCTTGAAGGTTCCGACCCGCCTATGGCTCGCATAGCTCGGGACGCCTGCCCAAGCCCACAAACTTCTGAAGAGAGCTCAGGTGAGCAACACAGCGCAAGAATACACGCCTACCGACTTCTGGACTAAGCGTGATGACATTGCAGCAAGGCCGGTGGATTTGCCTTGAGGGCATGGGGTGTAAGGTGCCTCAGGTCCAGGAGGTGGTGCGGGCTTGAGCTTTAGTCAATTAATGTAAATTATGGACTTTGCTTCGATTGCTCCGTGCGATCTGTGACTGGATGAAAGGCTTGAGCTTTAGCACATTTTAGCACCGTCAACATCTAAGCACGCTAGACGGTCTCCGCAGCTTTGATTCCTTGCTTCTAGCCGCCGAACCTGCCTGGGATTGCGGCAGGATGCTGGAAAAGATCAACGGCACCCTGTGGCGCTTGGGTCCTCAGGAGACAAGTATCGCATGTCGCAGACAGGGTAGTGACCAGAGCGACTGGACGGACTTGCCGAGGCCAGGCTTATGTCAAAGCGATGCAGTTCGAGATCATGAAGGCCGCGGCGTAACTGCTGGGTGCTTCTGGCTACGAAGCATGGTCGGACTTCGCTTCAATCTTTCGGGTGCATTCTTTCAGGTTCAGTCTAGCTTTGGGCATGCTAGCGGGGTATTCCGTTCATATGCAAATGTCTGCGGCCAGCGCAGCCACATTGCCAGGTTGACTTCGCAAAGCAGTTCGAAGACTCCATCACCGCCGTGCAGGCCAGCCCAAGGGTTGGTTCTCGGTAGAGACCGGTCAGTGCGCTCGGGTACGGCCGTGGTTGTGCTTGATACCACATGCTGGAATGCAGGGCAGTATGCAGCCTTTGCCTTCCGAGTAAAGCGTTTATTTATAACTTATAACAAGAGGAGCAGAGCTAATGGGGACGCTGCAGCGATGGATGCCCAGGGGCCGGGTATGTTGGCTTCCACCGGTCCGTTGGATTGCAAGCTCCTGGGAGGTGAGCTCCTTCGGTCGGGTGAGGTCGGCAACTGGCATCGTAAGCTACGGAAGTCTGACCGCTTGGGGCTATCGATCAGTAAGGATTGGAAGGCTTGATTATTTGGTTCATCGGCTGGTTGCTGCCTCCTTTCTTGATCCGCCGTCATCTTCGTCCAAGTGGCAGGTGAATCACGTGGACAGCAACAGGGGCAATAATCATATGCAGAACCTTCAGTATGTGACAGCAAGCGAGAATGTTCGTCACTCCTGGAAGGTCAAGGTGTCACGCATGTCAAAGGCAGGGAAGCTGGGCAAGGCGATTCTGTGGCGAGCTTGCGGCCATGACTCGTGGTCGTTGGCGGCTTCGCAGGCTGAAGTCGTGAGGACACTTCGAGTGTCTCGCACCTGCGTGGTTCGTTGCTTTCTTGGGTTGGCGACAAGGTGCAAAGGAGAAGGCACCTGCTATGAGTTAAAAGCAGCAAGTCTTCCCAGACAGCTTGTGCCGCTGGAAGGCGAACTGTGGAGGCCCGCTATACATGCCGGTGAACATGCCCCACTCCCGGGCCTCATGGTCAGCAGCCATGGACGCATTCTGTCATCATCTCCGAAACACCAATACGTGGGGCGTGGATACTGTACTGCCGCTGGTTATTACAGTGTGAGAAAGGGGAGTCGAGGATTCCTGGTGCACCGCTTGGTTGCAGGAACATTCCTGGGCGCTCCTTCTTCAACGAAGTGTCTGGTGAACCACCGGGATTCAAACCGTGGAAACAATCATGTAAAGAATCTGGAGTATGTCACGCCTTCGCAGAACAGCCTCCATGCCTGTCTACATAGAGATGGTCGGATGCGGAAGACTCGGAACGGGAAAGCTGTACAGATCCGTCTGAGGGGAACACGCGACGAGTGGCTGCAGTTTGGTTCTATTCGAGCTGCCGCAGTTCATACGGGCACCAAGAAACAACTGGTTTCAGATATTTGCAATGAAATGCAGACCTGCGACCAGTCCGGCAAGTGGGAATTTCGTTTTGCTCGGGAGGAACCCCTCCCGGGAGAGGAGTGGCGTCCGGTAGTATTGAATGGTGCTCGTGTGCCGATCGCTGCAGAAACGATTGAAAAGACTGCACCGACAAGAGTTTTGTAGATCGGCCAAGGCCTTGACGCTAAAGGTATCCTGGGGGCTCTGTTCTTCAATTCTGCGGGATCGGGCAGCCGCCGAAAAGGAACGGCCAGGTCCTCTGCATTGAGCCGAGCTCAGTGCGGCATGTCACTTCAAGCCAACACTTGCCAGGTCGCCGAGCAGGCAAAGGTTGTCAACGAGTACGAGCAGCAGGCCGACCTGCACGCCTGCTTCATGGGTAATCCGTGCCACGGAGTGCACCCAATCGTGCGGCGGCAATTGCATGCAGCCAGAAGGACATGTTTTTGTCAAAAATTGATGCCGTGCAATGCCGTGCGTTGGCGTGCATGTTAGCAGCAGCAGGCGTCCAACACGTGCTGTGTGCGACAATTTCCATGTGCTTGCGCTTCCACCACTTGTTTGCTCTAGGTGCAGCGCGTGGTGCAGCACATCTCTGTCATGAAGTCAGAGAACGAGGCTCCCAGTTCTAGCCTGCATACAGTTCAGATTTAGGTTCGCCATGGTTCCCACTTCGTCACAAGCGACAAGACGGTAAGCTCCCTCAGCCGCTCGGGACATGCCAACGACTGAACATCAAGTTGCAGGGGAACCTGAAGCTGTACCAGGGATTAGCCGAGGAAGGCATGTCGCACTTCTTTGCAAGGCTGCCATAGCCAACATTTCGGCGGGTGCGGAAGCCAAATCCAAGGTCCGGACTTCAGCAGCGAGGGCAGAAGAAGCAGCGTCATGTGAGATGACGTCAGTCCTGTTTGGCCCACATGAAGTATACGTCGAGTTTTGCCAACAGACGTGCGAGGAGATTCGGGCGGCAGCTCGCCGTGATGCCTTCAACCTGAAGCAGGGTATGAAGGCCTTACTTCAGGGCTCCCGCAGGTCCTCACGTGCCTTCTGGCCTCTAGCTCTTTAGCTTGGGCAAGGGACCCTCAAACCTGAGAGAGTCACATCATAGCTTTCAGGGTGTGAAGCACAGCTGTTTTCATCTCAGCCCGTCGTCAAGATTTACAGACACTGGGAGTCAGCACTGCTTCGCCGAACTCTTGCGATATTGGAGGCACAGAAATACTCCGAGCTCCAGAAAAAGTTGGAGCATGGAGCCCAGAACATCGACGCTAAGTGACTCCCGCCCTGTAAGCATTTGAGTAGCCGAGGTTGAACGGAGTGCAGATGAGCGAGTACTTCAAGATCAAGTCAGTGCAAGGCCAGAGCAGCAGCGGCAAGGCACCAACCTCGGCACAGACCATCAAGGACACGCTTGTAAGGTCGGGCTACAGGGCTTCGGGTTGAAAGAGGGCTCCCCATGGAGTACGAAACACTTGGTTGGACCATATACGTCATGTTCCGGGTCCGTTAGAGGCCCAGAGGCCGGAAGGCCCGACATGCCCAAGGGGCTAAGCTTTGAAACCATGTGAAATCATGACGCCAGAAAGACTATTGGGGCCCTATCTGAGGACTCCAGGATGATAGTCCCTCGTCCCTACTATGAGCAGCCCTCCAGTTTGTGATTCGACACCGAACCGCTCAGAATGTTGAGATTTCATAAGCTTTTTGGCTGGTTGTCTGGGATGAAAGCCCTCAGGTCGTGGTCGGCCTGCCTACTGTTGGCCAGCGATCGCTCGAGGCCGCTGCGGGGAGCTTGCTACAGGATCCCGGCAAGCCGAAGGCTTAGGAATGCTTAGGACAGGATTGAGGATTCAGGGCTTGCGTGTTCTGCACGTTGCTGAATTCAAAGGTTGAGCTGGCTCCTGGCACATACGAGAGCTCGACGTTATGGAGTTTCGTCCCCAACATCTCGTCGAAAGTGCATGGCCGGGCTTTGGGACATCTTTTTCAGGGGTTCTGGTATTGCCCCATTCTTCTTTTGACCTTGTCAATCCCCAGCCCCCGAAGGACTTCTCAGCAACTCAAAAAACCCCACCTGCAGAGTCCGATTCGCAGGCTGGCCCGAAGCATCCCGACCTCTAGCACCCGGGAGGCGGCTGGGCATGGAGGGCCTAAGACCTAAGGCTCCAGAAAGGCTTCATTCAGGAATGATTCTTGGACTCATAACATTTCTAAAAAAGGAGTAGTAAGATTGAAGAGCAGGAACAACAATAACAAGCGTGAGGGATATTCGGTTAAGCAACAGTCCAACACTTCGGGCAGCTTTTCTTCGAGGGCATAAGGGTCAGCATCAGTGTCGAGAGCTTCGATGCTTCCTTCTGTTTATCGAAGTGTCTGCTGAAGGTTGAGTTGGTGTGTGAGGGGCGCGACAAGCTACACAGGCGGAGCATCGTTAGCGCAAAGAAGTTTGGCCTAGTTACCATTTCCGGTATCTTGTCTTCAAGCAGGTCTCACAGGCAACCAAGTTACTTTCACGGGCAGCGCCACTTGTTATCCGCAAATTAGAGAAGTCGCGAGACTTGGGGGTCTGCATCTATAGTCACCAGTTGCTTTACTTGAGCCCTTGCGAAACCCACCCAAGAGGCTACTTGTATCCACCCATCATCCTTCAAGCGAGCCCTGAACCCTTACATACATGTAACACCCTATTACCTCCAAGACCCCTGTAAAAGACCCTCACAGACCTTGTCCTGGTTTGATCCTTCAAAGACTCGGCGCTGCAGGCCCTCAACTCCAGTGAGGTGTATCCGGGCTTCAGTTAGCTGCATTGGTTTAGGGTTCCGGCTTTTGGGGTTTGTAGGGTAGGGTTTATAGGGCCCAGGTTATATATATATATATATATATTTTTTTTTAATATATATATATATATATAAATATATGTATTTGTAAGGTAGAAGAGGGGCTAGGGGTAGCATAGCGATCAGGATCTCATCTAGGGTTTTAGTTTCCCCAAAGACAGCCAGCTCCACACTTAGGGGGTCCAGTAGATCGAGAACACAACGACCCACCACGGGGTGTTCCACAGCGCGGCGCGCGGAGAGACCGCTGCCCGCGATCCCTTCATTTGACGGGAAAGAGGTGTGAGAGAAACGTGGAAAATAACCCATTCTGCAATCGCTGCAGTTCGAAGCCAGCCCCGAAGTATGAAAGCCTGAAGCCCTCTACGAGGCTTTTGGCACGAAATCCGAAAAGCCCAAACCGTGTTGAGCCCCGAAGCCCGGAAGGCCTCAGTTGCGGGAGGGCCCATGGCACAGGTACCCTAGGAGTCTGAAGAATGTCCAGTACTATTCCTTGGGGTTGCTCAACACAGTTCTAGTATATCATACCCCAAGACCCTATTCTAGTTGTTAAGGCCACTTATATAAGAGAGGCATAGCCGCGGCTCCTCTCGTGGTGGAGCAGTGTAGTATGGGGCCCTAGCAAGTACTCATGCTAGTGTTTCTTTATCCTGTGCAGTTCCTTATCCAGCCATTGTAGCTCAGGCCACGATCAACCTCAGAGCATTCTGCCATCTGCGGAGTTGCTTTCTCTTTTTGCTCTAAGGGTTCTATGCTGCTATCCGGCTCTTAAAAGGCGGTAGCTGGTAGTTTCGTTAGTAGATGTCTCAGAGATGCATCGATTCGGGGTTGGGGATTCGCAGCGTTTCCTGGAAGTCGTCGGGCCACTCGCCAGCTTCTCCGTAGTGGGAAATTGGGGCCCCTGGCCTTTCCTGCCCTTTTCTGCTGTTCCATTCGGTATCTGCGAGGTTTCTGTTGTCTTGAGCACATCGGATTCTGAGGGCTTTTTCAGGCGGTTGCCAATTTCAGCTTTTCTGCTTCTGGGTAGTGTGTTCCAGCCGCAGATACCTCATCGAGCTCCCGACCCCGAAGATTCCTGAAGCCTTTGCCATATCATGAACCATTACAGTAGTACAGGTTCAGGAAAGCCGGAACTGCACCCGAAACCCTGAAATCATGACCTCGACGAAATCTTGGTTGCCGTGCCTCGCAGCATTCTCACGGGCTCCATGGCTTTGATGCAGTATGGTGTCGAAGGGATGTTGAGGCCTCCGGAGCGTATTCGAGCCATTAGCCTGGCCGTCCCAGGGTCTCCGGAGAGACTTCATCTCCTCTACACCTTTCAACTTCGAGCTCCCGGTTTCCTGCAGCAGCGACCGCATCAACACAAGCAGCATAGCAGCTTCACCCATGGATACCGAGTCCTGCAACCTCCATATGTCAAGTTTTGAGCCACGAGGGCTCCCGAAGCGAGATCCGAGCGCAAAGGGCGCAGAGGACATGCCTGGGCCATGGCGGTAGCTCGCTTTCAACGATGCAGTCGGGCGGCCCGGAAGTAGCACGTCTGTTGCTTTGGCATTGGGCCTCATGCTGAAGTCGCATCGCTGGGAAGTCGAGGTAAGTTGGGTTGTTTCGCTCCACGTGTTGGGACGGGCTTGCGCCGTTTTTGTGCAAAGCGAGCTTCTTCTTGTTTTCTTCACTTGGCGAAACTTTGAGCTGTGTCCCTGGAGGCCTCGGATATCTCCAAGCAACAAGAACCCCTGAAATCTCTATCCGGAAAGCGGCGACAGATCTGCGGTAGACGCCAGAATAGACAAATGTGCAAGGAGATAAAAACCTTGTGACAAAAGGAGACCTGGCCGCTTACAGTAACCTTCTAAGCTCAAATGCATCCTTCCAACCCTGGGTTCTTTATCCAGGCCTTCTGCTGCTTGGCCTCTGGGCCCATGGTGCTGTGGTCTGGGGCACAGGATGCATCGTGGTTTCGGGTCTCCGGGCAGGCTGTGGGCTTTTTGGTTTCCAAAACCCAGCAAGCTTAGCCTGACCTTAGATCGTAGAGCCGCTGTATGGATATTATGGATATGGTCTGAAGTACTACAGCCACTGTCTGTCACATGACCTCTGCTAGTCGTAGACACACTGGCAAGTTCGGATTCCCACCCGGACAGAATCCCACGACGCCTTAGCCAGCTGTCCACAACCTGCAGTTCCACACGCACTCCTCCACTCCTTCTAAACCCTTTTGTCGTCAGGATTGTGCCAACAGCCTGAACCTAGGCCCTGAACCCAGCCTGCCACATTGAGTCGTCTCCCGTCGCCTCATGCGCTTCAGGCGAAGATGGTCATGGGCATCGCGGATGGTGAAGATTATCAGTTGGTCGGAGAGCCCAGCCCCTTATTGTGATGTGTAGTCGAAGCTACAACTTCATGTGTCACATATGCCATAGCCTTTAGCCGCCCTGGGGAATTATGGCAGAGTGTTCCGGGGCCTGAACGGGAGAAGCTTCGAAGTCCATCTAACGCTTAGGGTTTGGGATCTTTGTTTCGTTGCAGTGGTAGCTGACGACACCCTCTCAACTACTTCGCAGGAGGTTGCAACTTAGTCTGAACGTACCGCTGCGGACCCGAGCCAAGGTGTCCACTTTTTGCTTCAGGTTCCCACCGGCCACGCCAGGACTTTGTTATCACGACCTTGCATGTCGTAATGAAGCTAGCGTCCTTTCATAGTAATTTCAAGTCAGCTTGAGAACATCAAGCCGACGGCGGAGTAACATAGTATTACAGTACTCGGCTGCACTGCTGAACAGGTGACGGCGCACGTGGCATCATACAGCAAGAATAAGCGTTCGGCCAATGCGGCCAGGGCTCCTTTTCCTCCTCCTGCTACTGCTGCTGCTGCTGCTGCTGCTGCTGCTGCTGCTGCTGCTGATGGTTACAATGATACTGGCCATTGGCCTGGCCAAGTTGTCGGTGCCGAAGTCCAACATTATTCCCAGCATCAAGCCCATAATAGGCCCGGTGCCTTCGATAGTAACGGTAACGGGTCAGTAATGCCTCAACACCGCAACAACGAAAGCTTCAAAGCCATAGTCATTCCACGCATTTCCATCGGTCGTTGGTTGGCAACTAGGGCCCTTCTCATCAGCTTCTGGAAATACATGGAACAGCAGAGGTCCCAGCCATGCCAAGCGATACCGCCTGTATCGCTATTTTATGGTGTTCAGGAGCAACAACGGTAGGTGCAATTAGGCGCGTGGTCGGTATCTGTGGTCTTCGATGCTCGATTGGGCAACCCGTGCCGCGAGGACAAATAGTCCCAAATGGTCACATCCATTCACAGACGATCGCCTGGGGCTTGTCGATATCTGCTGCCGCAATTCCAGCTGTTTTGCTCGCTTTGCTTCGGGGACCCATGGTGTCATGCGATGTGTGAGCCGAGTGGCTTGGGACAGCACCTGTTTATTGGCCAACACTTGAAGCGAGCCGGACTCGATGCCGCAAAGGTTTCAGCAGACGGCCACAAGTTTCTGGTGGTGAATCACTCGGATGTCCAGCAAGGCTCGTTCGGATGGATTCCAAGCACGGGAGAGCATGAAGCCCTTCTCGAAAGTCTTGCTCGCTTGCAGGCTTGTCCTGCGACCAGCTCGTCAAGCGAGCCAAGGTGATCGAGCACGCAAGCTCAGTTCAGACAAGAAGCTGCGGTAGAGTTTGTTGACTGCCTGTCATCTGTACGTTGTGTCCATGCTGCTGTGGTTTTGCGCTGTTGTGCCCCAATCAATTCTGCCGGCCGTGCCAAGTGTTCCTTCATGCGCTCAAGCTAGGCCGTTGGTGGAAAAGACAAAGGAGGTCGTTGCATACGACTTGACTCTAAATGTCATTGGCTCGGCATTGGTCACCGCTGAATTTTCTGCTGCTCCGGTTTGTGGTAGGTGTGACATCCACGTCTGAACTCTAGAACCTGGGCGGATGATCTGACGCAAGAACTAAAGTACCTGAAGAATCTGTAAGTTTGCCTTGGCGAGCCCTTTTGTTCTTGAGGTAGAGCCATCGATGGTCAGTGGCTCATACTTGCCGTGCTTGCATGGCTGTTTTCCTTTGGACGGCTTTCGATCGAAAGGGCGGGAATTGACTTTGGGTTGTGCTAAATTTGTGGCTGTAGGTGCAGAGTATAGAGTCTGTAGAGCCTTGTATGTTTGCATCGCTGTTGTCTTCAAACAGGGGGTATATAGATGTGCAAGCTGGCTCAGGATAGCCAGCACATCGCGGCGGTCATCGCCCGCTGTGGGCAGAAGATCAATGCCGAGT